TGGCCAGTAGTGGTGAAGTGGTGAGGTTTTGACCTCGGCTACTCGTTTGAAACCTCGGAGTCAGAGGTCAAGTGCAGGGAAAAGTCCATTAAATCGAAAATGGAACAGCTGTTTCTACATAAATCACTATTTTAAGTATTTAGGCCAAGCATTACAGTCTACACACACGACACACACACACACACACACACACTCTCTCTCTCTCTGTCTCTCCCTCTCTCTCTCTCACACACACACATACACACCCATACACAATGACAAGCGCATGCACACAAATGCCCACACACATGCATGCACAGAGAGAAAGAGAGAGAGAGATAGATATAGTCCACTCCACTCTACTTGTAGCAAAGTCGATAGTAAATATTTTCTAACATACATAGAGCGATCTTTTTCCATGGAATGGGCACTGATGTAACACAAACTCAATGAAATTGAAACGGTTGTACTGAATGCACTTCATCCGTCGTGACGGCTGTAGTGATGCATATTCTCCCCGACCCATATAGTTTATAGTAAAAAAAAAATATATAATGGTTTAAACGATGTTTCCCCAGCCCAGTGGTTAGTGTTAGTTTTGACCTAGCATTGATGAACCCGATGATGTTTTGTAACGTTACGCACATTCACACAATAGTACGAGGCATCAGACACTTACCAAGCAATCTCCCTCACGATAGGCCTACTATTGATAACCTTACATGATCAGTCAGATAAGTACCGAAGCTCAATATTAACTCAACAGTGAGGTTAAGTACTGGGATTATTTCCCTTGAATTTTTCTTTTAACTGCTGTTGCGAACTTCGGAGGTAGCGATCTTTTTTTCTGGTCCCCCAACGACACTGCTACAAGCTTAGTCGACTGTAGATAGATAAATAGAGAGAGAGAGAGAGAGAGAGAGAGAGAGAGAGAGAGAGAGAGAGAATGAATTTAAATTATTATAAAAGTAAGTCAAGTAGTTGAAGTATAGACTAGGTTCTGGTTCTGAACTTTCATTTTTGCTGACATGGAACTAAACTCTCGTTTCCATCTTAACTTTAAAAAAGGAATAATAACGATGCCTAGCTCCATTTTTATTCTGAAAAGTATATATATATATGAATAGGCGTGTTGTTATGTTGCACACTCTATTAAGGAATGATTTTTTTTTTTTGGGGGGGGGGGGGTTCATCAACAAAAACAGAAATATCTTGAGAGTCTCTTATAGGAGTAAAATTTGGCATGATATATATCCTGATTGAGAGAAGTTCCGTAGAGGGCTGGCACTTACCGTGACAAGGTCCACTGAGCAAACTATACAAGAGTTAGGGTTAGGGTATACCCCGCTCAAAATATCCCCTCTTTTGTGTGTTGTTGGTCGGGCGACCCTCTGCAGAACTCCTTCCTTCTGATTAGTTTTTCTACGTCTGGAGAAGTGATAGTACATTTCAGTGTCTAGTGTTGCGTCATGGCAAAGTAAACCCATGCTCTTTCAGGCACAGATAACAAAAACACGAAAAACTTGAAATCATGGATAGCTTGTACAATTTTACCATTCCCAGACTGATATCTTTAATATTTTGATAGCCAGTTGACCCGAAATATGGATGCATTGAAAGTATTTTGTCATTCCCTGATATGTTCAAGGTATCCGTGCTCAACTGTGCTTAAAATTAATCCAGTATTATCTTGCATGTTTTCAGAATCAAAGTAAATAAATGGGGGAGAGAAAGTGAATAAATAAGATACAGAGAGGGTGGAGATGGGGCTACCTTTGTGGTTCTTACCAGTGTTTTGTACTGCAACTATGTGTGTTCATACGTGGTTTTTGTGGCTGTTTTGTTACGGGATGACAGAAGACTGCTTTGGACTTTTGCTGTCACCTTGGGAGGGGAGGGAAGGGGGCAAAATTAAAGAAGTGTTGAGTCTAGGGCAGGTTGTAAATTAAGATTTTATGTACTATTTAGTGGGGGCGGGCTGGAAAATATGTAGTGTATGCATCAGTGCGATTCCCAGTGTCTCTGATTTTATAGTTCCTTACTTATAGTATGCTGATGTTAATTTATACAGAAAAGTGTCAACGATGGCGTTTCCCTTTATTTGCTGATATCTGCAGATGTTTTATTCATGCATTCTAAGATGACAGATTTTGGAATATATGAATATTCAACTGTTGCAATATTCTGTCCCTGAGTGGTCGTTAGTTTATATGTGTGTAATCTTTACTGTGATCTGTTCTAGAGATAATCTACTTCTAAGCTTCTGTGCAGAAAGCAGCTGTTACTGTGTAGGCCTACTGATTTACATCTTTCGGATGTGTGCACTTTTTCATGTAAGATTTATCTTGAATTCTATATTGCTTGTAATATAACCCAGTACTTATAAATTCATTTTAGAAGTTGATAAAAAGCTGTGGAGTTTCAGAAGCCTTGACGCATGTTCTGTGTTTAAGCTCCGCTTATGTTGAAGAAACTGGTTTTGTTACTGATTCATAACGGTGTGGTCTGTGAGTAAATTGCAATCTTTCATTAAGATTTTGAGCTGCCTAAATTTGAGGGTAACAGGGAGTGAGCTCGCTTTCTTCTCAGATGTCATGGGAAAAGATTTGGAGATCTCATGTGTTGGCTGTGCATATATTTATATTGAAGATACATTAGCAGTATAGTATGAAATAATTCCGAGCAGACCTGCACAGGTTGGCTACCTGGGCCAAATTTTTAACCAATGTCTATCCAAAACTGAAAAGACTGATCTTTATACGAATAGTCAAGGGGACCATAATCTCAGGTTTTCTCGCAGCCTGTGTTCCCATCATTGTTTATTATTACTTTGTAGGTTCACATTTTAGAATTTATTGTTGCCAAAGTGTATTACTTTTAATTTTGTAGAAATGTTTTCTTTGACTTAAGGCCTATTGTGTCCAAGGATTCTCCAGTTCATGCCCTGTTTGGTATTTGTTTTTATTCCTCTAAATTTTTTTGCATTATTGCATAATGATTGCAGAAATTCTGTTTTAGAAATTGAACTGTCTGGTGTTTTTCATTTCTATCTTTGGTTATACTTTGAGTGCATTCCACCTTTTCTTGAGTTCTTTTCTTTTCCTTCATAAAAAGACTACAACTACTTCTCCATTGTACTGATGTGATGCGTTTTATTTACTTTGAAAATGAGAAAAACTATGACTGAAGTTCTGCTTTTGTTCATTGTAACAGCTATGGCATTTCTGGTTCTTCCAATTCGACCGGGGACACTGTGAAGAAACTGGATGTGTTGTCCAATGATCTCTTCATCAACATGCTCCGCTCTTCCTACACAACCTGCTTGTTGGTGTCAGAGGAGAATGAGAATGTGATTGAAATTGAGGATGAGAATAAGGTACAGTGCGCTACCTGTTGTAGGGATACTCCTGAAAATACAAATTATACTATAATTGAATCTGCTCTAGCGACCATCTGTTTAAGACTACCTCCTATACTAACAGCCACTTCCAATTTCCTCCCTTGTACATTTTTAAATGTTAAAATGACACCATGTAAGATGGTGACCTGTCTAAGACTTTTCTCCTCGACAGTGGGTGGCTTTCTTAGACACTTTGGTCTGTATGTTGTACAACTTACTCGCTGGAGCATAACTGTCTTTATATGTTTAGAAGTTCAAGAAAAGTATGTGGTTTGTTCTAGTGGTGGCTTTTAGAGTATATTTGTAGATGATTTTGCTAATGTTATCTGTGTACTTTTATGTATGGGTGATGTTGTCTTACTGTGTACTGTATTTTGTATGTAGTTGAAAGGTCCCATTGTCTATTCTGGCTTGTTTTTCCACTCCATGTGTATTTTTGTTGTTGTTGCCTTAGGTTTTAAGATTTGGACATTGTTGCAGTGTCTGACCCCTCTACTTCATTTCATTTATTATCATCCACTTCGTTCCTCGTGTAATGTGGCTGTTATCGTGCTTGCTTCTCATGTTCCACAAAAGTTTCCGATTTTCAACATGCCCAATTCTCTAAAACACAGATCTGTGTCTCATACAAGGTATGTTTTCAGTGTTCGCTTTGCGCAAGGATTTTTATTTTTTGCATTCAACACTGCGATTTGTCTAAAAATCATTGAGTTGGTCTTTAGCTATTTTGATTTTGATTTTAGGTTTTGTTTGACTGTTACTTTCAATATTAAAGTTGTGCAATTTTATTTTGCTTCATGATACTTCCATATTGTTGAGCACTCAACAGCATTATGAAAGCAAACTCAAATGCCAAGCAGTCAGCACTTCCTGAACTAGTTAACAGTTGTATCATCGTAGCACTTGTGTCTTTGCGTGCCAACTATATATCTTCATACGTCTTTTTTTTATGAAAGTAATAACTTAAATAAGTTTATAAAATAGGGATGAGCTGTGCAAAACTGTTATAATTCATTGGTGATTTTTAAAAGTCAAATGGGTATGTAGGTTTGATACTTTACCACAAATTATTTGAGGTATGAGCCCTATCAGAAATTGCAAAGAGTCTAAGTTGAATCCTACTTCTTCCCATTTTATTTATCAGTGTGTCTTTTGTGTAACCATACATGAATTTCATGACTTTTCTTTTGTCAATTCCTTTTTTGGTTGAAGCCAGTGAACGTGCTTATGTGCTTCTGCTGTTTATGAACTTGATCGAAATCATCGTTTACAGTCAAGTGTGGGGCCCAGATTACCCTTCCTTGAATATAATCAATTCTCAGCTCTTTATCCTCTCCAGGACCTTTTCTGAACCTTTAAAATGCCTTCCTCTATCTAGTAAGGCATTACGCTTCCAACAAAGTAATAAATGGTGCATGAAACAAACTTTATTTCTACTTCTTTTTCCCAGGGCAAGTATATTGTGTGTTTTGACCCTCTTGATGGTTCTTCAAACATTGACTGCCTTGTTTCCATCGGCTCAATTTTTGGAATCTACAGAAAGGTTGGTTTCTTTTTTTCACTATTTTATACTTTTTGCTGTTTTATTAACTTTATTATTTGCCTTCATTGTGGTCTTTGATGGAAAAGTGGGACTCTGTAGAAGGGCATGGGTGGTTGGCGGGTGCTCTGGTGTGGTTTGCTTCTTCGTTCCTATCAAACATCTATCGTTCTTATCTCTCCTTCTTCTTTTTTATGTTTGTTACTCTCTTGTAACAGCTCTAATCTTCTGGCGGCCATGTGACCTTATGCAGTTGCGAGTGCCGTAATACCTCTACTAAAACTATAAGTAGAAGGGCAAAGATACATGCCAATATAATGGAGTCCAGGGGCGAAGCGTCTATATAATCAAATAATCACTGCTTCCCTTTCTAATTTTGAAACATTGTCGCTGTCAAATTCATCCTTAAACGTAAACCTCATAAATTAAATGTAAAAAGACGTTCGTAACCAACAACGAACAGTATGCCTAACATTCAAAACGGTTTCACGGCCACAGAAATAGCCTCCTCACCCCTCTCGGGCCACTCCATAAGCAGTCGCAAGCTTTGATTTTAAGTAAGCTTAAAGTGAGGCTGGAATAGAGTTGAAGGGAACATGTGCATGGCAGTCAAAGCTGTTTCATTGCCACATATACCCTGTTCACCCCTTTGGGGCCACAGTTAAAATCAAACACAAGCTCTGATTAAGTAAGCTAACTAACACTGGTCGAGTCTACCTCACAAATGTGAGGGGAACTAACTCTTAATTATCTCTTGACTGCTGCTTGTGCTTGTTTTTTTTCCTCGACTTTTTACCGTCCTATAATCAGATCGTGACCTCGATTATGACACCAGCTCCTGGCCGCGAAAGGCTAACAAAAACAGCCAAATGTGAAATTAAAAAAATAATAATTGTCATGTTCTACCAAAGAGTTAGACTCACTGGTAGATCTATAACATATAGATCTAGTACTGACATCTCTGCTTCTTTGCTTTGTGTTTATGTATTCACATCTAAAGTTAAGTTTAATTTTAGTGGGAACTGATATTTAATAAGATACTTTCCCAATTATTTTGGCAGTTGAACATACAATATGAATTTCGGATTTGTTTTCATTCATAACTCAGAGTCGCTGCCTCGAGTAAGATTCTTGTGTGATATCTACAGGCCATATCTGGTCCCATTTCACTTTGATTACCCGGTCAAACAGGTCAGCCTTCGCCCCTGATGGAGTCTACGGGATCTCTTCAAAAGCATTGTAACTTCTATGTGAAATATCTGCCAGAAGATGATGGCTAGTGATTTGTAAGAAAACAGTAAATCTAACTTTTGAATTGCTTATTTTTATTACCTATAAGTTCAAAGACGATCAGGTTTATTTGAAAGGGAAGTGAATCTTTAAAATTGGAAAAGTCAGGTTGGCTTGCTCCAAGCTGTAGAAATGACTTCGATGTTTGTTTTCTTTTTACTGTTTGTAATTATAACAATAACAGTATTTTATTTCTTCATCACGTAGCTGACAGATGGACCTGCCACCGTGAATGATGCCCTGCAATCAGGCACTCAACTTGTCGCTGCTGGCTATGCTCTGTATGGCAGTGCCACCATGGTGGTTTTGTCATTGGGGCAAGGAGTCAACACTTTCATGCTTGACCCGGTGAGTGCCTTCATGGTTTCATGCTTGACTTGTGCATTTGTCCATAATTTTTTTGTCCCCTTCTGTCAAAGTAAGGACTTTTTGACAGTAGAGGATTGAGTACATATTTAGTAGCCCTACTTTTGTAGATGAGTTATTTACGTTTTCATCTGTCTGGGTTTTATATATATATATGTGCTTGAATTGGCACCCAGAAATTTATTTTGAACAGATTTGTGCCCACTGCTGTACCACATGTTTGTGTCCGAGTTGAATGTTATTATTTTGTGATTAATATGAAATCAAATTAGCTTTGGCTTTGTGAGACACTTTTTTTATCCCCTAAGAACATCTTCAAGTTCTTGATTCTTAAATCATAGTTAACAAGTGATGTGGATCATAGAGAGTTTGAAATAATTCTTTAAATTGTTATTTGATACTGATACTTGAATTCCATTAGTATAATAATTTTATTGGCAATTGACACCATTGCAGCTCAGTAAACCTTCCAATTTAGATTAATCTCACTTTATGTCCATTCTTCATTGCTGGTAAAGTATATTTCCCCTTTTCTCTCTGGCATGAAGATTTTCATCACCTTACCCATTGTTATTTCTTTGTATCGAACAGTCCATTGGAGAGTTTTTGCTGACTGAGAGAAACTTGAAAATCAAACCAAGAGGAAAGATTTACAGCATCAATGAAGGATATGAACAGTACTGGGATGAGGCTACGCGTCAGTACGTCATCAGCAAAAAGAGGCCGCAGGTGAAGAATACATTTCCTACTCTCAAATTTCAATTCCCTTTTTCATTTTTGTAGCCCCTTACATTTCCTGACTGGTGCTCAGTTTCCTCTAGAGTGCAAATCCAGTTTTCTTTCTTTCTGTCAAAGCGAAAATATATTATAAATATGTTTAAAAATGAGGTATAGGGACACCTCCCTCTCCCCAATCATGATTTGGCTAAAGCTCAGAAAGATTTAGAAGCTTTTTGGTATGCAGTGTATGTTTTTTTAGCTGCATGTCCCAGGATGTGAGCTGACTTACTTTCAAACTAGTTCACTATTTTTTTGGTCTCTTCACTTACTTTCTAAAATTTGAGTTTGAGAAGTCTTTTAGATGATACTGTCATTAAGTCCCACTATAAGTTTCAAAGAAAGATGACTGTTTATTTTTGTTGACACCTTTCATGAAAGTTGTGAGCCAGTTCTGATTTAAGAAAATATTTGAGAGGATGAACAATTTGAGCAACATTAATCTTCAGTTCATCTCTTTTCTATACTAAGATCTATGAGCCATTCTTATGTTCTATACAATGTGATTCAGTTTCATTCAAATTTGTTTTAAATAAACTAGAATTGTTCCGATTGTATAAAGACTTTGTACTGGATGTGTGGTGTCTGAAATGCCTTAATGATTGTGTTATCAACCAATTAGATGTGTGGATACATACTAAGCATTTATTCTTTAAACCCAGAATGGTAAACCTTATGGAGCTCGGTATATTGGATCTATGGTTGCTGATGTTCACCGTACTTTGTGTTATGGTGGAATCTTCATGTACCCAGCAACGACTCAAGCACCTAAAGGGAAAGTAAGTGACTAAAAGCCTTTTAGCAAACTACATGTAGAAGGTTCACATACTCATGTGCATATTAGTTTGTGTTTGCACTTGCATTCCTTTATGTATATATAGGCTACAAGATTCATGTAATATTTAGTTTTTTCCCCAAATTATTATGAGCCCTTGATCACTGAGACAATACCTCCATTTTCTGATTCATCAGTTTGTCTGAATGGTAATGATTGAAGTTGAGGTGTTATGGGAAATTAACTCATTCAGCCCATACGCCGATAATATCGGTATGCGCGCGCAGCGCTCCAACCCTAACGCCGACAGTATCGGTATGGAAAATTTAGCTCTCTTGACAGAAAACACTACTTTTGTGTGAAGAAGACTATAGCGTAATTGGAAGAGTAACCATTTTTCGTTTGAAACAGACTATGAACAGAAGTGCAAGCCCAAATTTAGAACAAGAAGAGCTATATTCGTGAACCATGTGAGGGGGTGCGAAATTTGAAAGCACTTCCTTTCTTCGCTTTTTGTTTACTTTTTGACTCTGTGTATAGACCTTTTTCCACGGAGTATTGCATAAAAACAATGATATATTTTTCCTTCAAATTTTCAATACACGCAAATAAAGGTTTGAATAAGATGTGTACCAAATGTGGGTGGGATATGTTGAAATTTAGTATTTTTTTCAAATTTTCAAAATGTGATAAGAATCTTTAGGGAGAGCTGACAACCTGGAAGAGTAGGCCTAGGGTTGAGTGAGTTAATGATAATATTATTATTTATACATTACCACATGAGCTGCGTGTAAGAAGAGATAAGGCCAGGGATCCAGGCAATCATTTATCTCAGTTTGAATTTCTGGTGTATTATTTCATCATTGTTAGATTTAGAATATAGCTCTAATCTGGGTATTTTCCCTTATCTTTTGAAAACCTGTAAAGAATCAACCTCACTCAGAAGTGTTAAAGCTTGGCTCTGTTAAACTTACAGGATTTTGTATGCACTTTCAACTTTTCTGAGGGTGCTCTGGTGTAGTTTGCTCCTTCTTTCCTATACTATCAAACATCTATCATCGTTATTCTCCTCCTTTTTTGTTGTTTGTTACTCTCTTCTAACACCTAAAATCTTTGGCACCACCCCCCCGGGACGGTGCTACTGACTGAAATGTCTTCCATTCCGAAAGGGGGGACATTAACATATATTCTTATATTCAGTAGAATTGTAAATGGGCTGATTCATCAATGTCATGCTCATAACTGTGCCTGAACTGCAACGGGGAACTGCTGCTTTTTCTTTCCAAATCCTTACTATTGTCATTTTTTCCTCTACTTCTTTTGAATGTTAGTATTGTTAGTCACACTCTTGTGGCCCGCTTTTTCCGGGGTGCCTTGATAGTCGAAGCAGACTTTGTGCTGTTGAAGCTAGAGAGGTGAGCAGTGTAAGCCTGATTTCCTGTAGGGACTTCTCTGTTGACATCCACCTCTTGGTGCTCATATGACCTTATGCCGTTGCGAGCGCCGAAAAAACTCTACTAAAACTTAAAAACTAAAATCTTCAGCACGTATATGATGCAATTGTGTTACAAATGCCGTAAGATGCTTACTAAAACTAAAACAAAACAACTTTTCGGTTGTGCTTGTTCTGTCTGTTGATTGATTTTGATGACCATCATTTGATTGATTAACTTCTTAGATTCAAGCTAGAACAATACTGGACCACACTGATGTATGTGAGTATTTGGATGATCTGCACTGTACTCTTTTTATTCTTTGCAGCTGCGTCTGATGTATGAAGGTAACCCTATGGCATTCATCGTGGAACAAGCTGGGGGTGCAGCTATTACAGGCAAGCAGCGAATTTTGGACATTGTGCCGACGAACATTCATGAGAGGTGCCCTGTCTTCATGGGCTCTGTCGAGGATGTGAAAGATATTGAAGAGTTCTACAAAAAATACAGCAGCTAAATCATCATGGTATGGTAATTCCATTTTATAACCAAACACCTGCCTTTACATCAGGGTTCCTAGTTTATCAGCAGTGTATTTCGCATGTGCTGAAGCTATCATATATACAACTGTACATTTTATCTTGTATCTGACTGAGATTTACAAATAACGAAATTACTTATAATTGGGCTTGAAATGTAATGTACCCAACTATGATTTGCATTTCAATTTTTTTAAAAGTATCTAGCATGATTTTTTTTTTACTTTGTACTTATATCTTTATGAAAGGAGAATGACAAATAAAAGAATTAAATTTGAATGGCTGTCCTGTTTGTGGGCACTGATTTCTTCTACTTCAGTTCTATGATTTGTGTTCACTTCTATCTTTAGTTTGTGTTCACTTCTATCTTTAGTTTGTGTTCAATCATACTTGTTCTCTTTGTTCGCTGCATTGATTTTTTTTTTTCAGAAGAATTTTTTCTTTTTCCATCCGAAGAAGTAATATACCTGCCTTTATATTGGTGCAAAGCAAATTTGTCTTCATTTTTTGTATATATATTATAAATATATGTTGCTTTGTGGAAACATAACCAGAGACACTGTGGCTGCAGTTGCATTATATTAATGTTCTACTATGCAAAGTTTTTGAAAGATATATGTTCTTGTTGTGATGATACTGTTTTTAAAAAAATTTTGTTTGGAATTTATACCAGTTCCTTTATGATTCCTTGAGTCAAAAATGTGATTTAATATAGAGAAAATTAGAGACAGCTGAGCAGACTTCGAAATAAACAACAGAGATAATTTTTTAAAATCCTGTACAAATGTATGCCTTTTGCGTCTGAAATTTTGTTTGTTTATTTGTTGTCAAAAAATTGTTTGGTCTCGTGTTAAAACAACATGTTTTAGCTTTTTTGGGGGGAAAACAACTTTCTCTGACCCATGTCATTGTTAGCCTTTCCCATCCATTTGTTTGGTGCTGTCATTTCGAAGAGGAGGCTGCTGACAAACTGACAAAAAGAAGTACTGAAATACTGTTGGTCAGAGTCAGAGTTGGTCGCTTTTAAGCACAAGGGGGCTATCCCGAAAAATACTGTTTTGAGAAAATCGAAGGTAAAGTTTTTGCCCCTTGTTCAGTTTCTTTAAAAGACGAGGGTTTTCTGTATAACCAGATAAATATACACACCAATGAAACCAAACTTCTCCTATAGGTAGGGTAATGCCTGCTTTTGGTGCAGGTCAAGATTTTTGGAAACTCCCGAAATCTGGTTAGCCCGCTTGTCCTTAAAAGTGACTAGTTATAGCATGATTTTTGTTACCACCTTATTACAATATTAGGTTAGACGCAAAGGAAAAAGTATTCCGAGTCGATGTTATCCATATGTGTAGATAATTCCTTGTGTACTTGTATAAAAGAATCAGCACTCACTTTTAAACTGAATTAAACGTAAAATAGATTTGGCTGGTCTATAAAACAAACGTTTGCAGTAAGAATCCTCATTTGATTAACATTAAGTGAATTACGTTTGATTTTCATTTCATTTGTACTGTGGGTGCTTACAGAAGAAATGGATATGCTGCTTTATTAATTTAAAACGGTATAGACAACAACAGCAATGAAATGGGCTGTATTTTGTCCACTGAAGTGTGCCACACTTATGCTTTACATGATGTTCTTGTGGAGGGTGTGTTCATGTTAATTCGTAAAAAAAATTATGAGTAATATGAATATGAGGGTTCTTTTTAAATGGGTATCTTTATAATGACCTTTACAATGCTATGATGCACGTTAACAGTTTTTTCAGACAATCTGATTGTATTTGATCATTTGTTTTGTGAACTTGTGCCATGTGTTTGTTTTCATTACGCATACAACTTGTTATCCAAAATCCATACCCTATGTGGTTTTCACATCAGTGCTTTAGATCTCTATTTGGTATAATAAAGACCAGATTTGAATCATTTATGGTCTAAAATCTTCTTCCTAACGAAATGAATTTCAAGTAAAGAGCTGACTCAGGGCAAAAGATGCTGCTAAGAATTAAAAAGGTAGAAAGATTTTACAATCTGCCTCACTTGCTCAACTGATTTATTCAATCAATTTATACATCATATAAAAAAAGCATGTACGTAATGTAATGCTTTAAATTGTCATACTTTTGTTCTGTTACAGTCTAAGTAAACAATTGATTCGTCAAGTAGAAAATGTTGAATCATTAATTTACCTAAAAATGATAAAGTAGTGCTTATTGTGTTGTGCTTTCTTCTGTTTCTTCAGTTGTGTAAGAGAAAGATACGTAGAGACTGTTCTTCCTCTTCTACTTCTTGTTCTCATTTCGAGACTATTAATTTTGAAATCTTAATAAATCATAGTTATCATACATGTAGTGCCATGATGCATCTTATTTGTAGTCCTGTTCTCATCAAAGGAACCCCCCAAAAAAGAAAACCCAACTCATTTAGATAGGAGCCATTTGACAATTGAGTTCAATAAGACTTTATAGTAGGTCAACATTACTATCTTAATCTTACTTAGCAATCCATAACAAAAATATGTGAAAAGGCAGCATCTTTTCATTAGTTACTTACATGTTGTCGTTCAGTCGGTAATGTAAGTACAAAGTTGTTACATTCACAAAACATTATATTTCGTCTTCTGTCACTGCAGCTAATGGTAATGTCCACAGGACTAGCCTGTTGTGATAAAAAAATGTTGTGTTCTTTGCTTTTTGCAAGGTTGGCAAAACTCAGGTGCTGTGTATCTGGGAGTTGGAGATTCTGTGTCCCAAGAGTTGGACAATAATGTCAATTAACTGCTGTTGCTGCTTTTTCAGATTATTTCGAGGGCTTTTTTTTCCCCATCATTTGCCATCAAGTCTTGTTACCTATTGTAGAAAAGATGTTCCTCTGACATTTTGCATTTAAAAATGAACGGCTGAAAATGCTGGTGGGTGGTTGGCGGGTGCTCTGGTGTGGTTTGCTTCTTCTTTCCTATCAAACATCTATCGTCCTTATCTCCCCTCCTTTTTTATGTTTGTTACTCTCTTGTAACACCTCTAATCTTCTGGCGCTCATATGACCTTATGCAGTTGTGAGCGCCGTAAAACCTCTACAAAAAAAAAAAATGAAAATGCTGCTTGTAGTACTTGAACAATTAGAATAAGTTCATCGTGAAATTTCTGTTGATCTGTTAAAGAAACTGTTATTGACAATCTGTTCTATGTAAGTGTGCTATGATTGTGCAAGATTTTATGTGATTGGGTTGCATTCCTTTATGAGATGTGGTATTTCTTCAACTCCAAATTTTATTTTAAAGTGTGACAACTATAAATTATATATATATATAATACGGGTGAAATACAAGTGACTGATGCAAAAAAAAAATTAAAAGTAAAGTCAGTATATTCCAAGTGATACAATATATCATGTATGTTGTATATGAGCTAATGATGCCAAAGACTATAAAAGTTACCTTTCATGAGCATGATCTAGGTCAATATTGTATTGCTTGCGCCATGGTGGATGATTTTGAATTTATAATTAAATAAGTAGGCAGTCTAACCCTACGCTTACTCTTTGTGTTGGTTTTTTAAAGTAAAATTTTACTGGTTGGTAACAGAGCACATTATACTGTTGATTTTTTTAACCTGATGAACTGGGAGGAGAGGTCTCTCTGGTCGGTCTTATCTTGAAGAGAATCTGTCATGGTTATGTTTGTTACTTTTTGTAAGCAAGTACTAAGTGTACAGGTTTTAATGCCCCTATCAGGAGATAGGACCTCTGAATTTACCGTTGGACGGTTTTTGGTAAGAATAAGAGTAAAGCCCGCCAATCACTACCCAGTTAAAAGGGTGCGCCCATCTTGAGATGGTCTCAAGACCGACAGAACACGATCTCAAGATGATCTCAAGACCAAAATCTGGATTGCTCAGTTAAAAATCTCAACAAACCGTGAGATCACTTGAATTCAGAACGAGCGTGAAAATTATCTGTCGGATTGGAGATCAGAGTACTCGACGCTAAAAATAAAAAGGTGCCAAAGTCAAAATTTTGCAAATCTTCAGAATCTTCATCTGCAATGTCAAATTCTAGTGGGATTTGATACGAAACACTGCTATCAAACGTTTGATGTAGTAATGTTAATAAATTATTCTTTGTGTGGGCCAGCTAGGTTTTTTTTCAAAGACAGTATGCGGTTGAATTGTATTGAATGCTGAAGAAAAATCAACGTATACAAGGGTATTTTTTGTTGATTTTTCCTCAGTATTCAATACAATACAACAGCGTATTGTCATTTAAAAACAATTGAGTCAATTGTTATCATTATATCGCATGGGTCCTGGAATTTTTGACAAGCAGACCACAATACAGTAGAAACTTGATATAACAGGGATGGTGGGACCAGAGAAGTTATATCAGATCCCTGTTAAATCAGAAATGCAAGGGAAGTAAGCTTTTGTGGACTAATACAGCTGTATTTATTATTCATGGGTAGTTTCCCTTGCCACAAGTACCCATGAACAGCGGTTTTGGTCATGTGGCAGGCCTGCGCATGACACATCACGCGTGTGTGTAGCTAGGCTTAGGGCTAGATCGAAGTCTACAGCACACCTCAGCCTTCTCATAATAGTGTTGATAGGGGCGTTAAACTCATACCATTTCACCATTTTTTTCAGCCCTCTCTCGCTTCACTCGTTGCGTGTGCTTGCAGTGGCGTGGCTTGCTCCATTACTGCGTTACTCTTTCTCTTTTTACACATTGTTAACAAGCCTTTGTCCCTGCTATAAGTTATAATAACCGATTGAGCTCCGATGAGGTCCTGTTATTGCCGATAACTTTTAATAGAGACAAAGAGAAGGAAAAAACGGGGATTTAAAAAATCCCTGTTATTACCGGATCCCTCTTATTACCGGGCCTGTTATATATGGTTTCCATTGTATGTTAATCTGAACAACACAAAATCTGACACAACCCTGCAAAAACAGACAGATATAGAAATTAATTTGTACCAACTGCAATGACGTTACTGAACCCTCAGTGCTACCAAAGATAGTACATAACAAGATGGGCCACTTCTCTCTTTGAGCCAATTAAAAAAAAAGTCCTCAAAATTTGGTGGCGCCCTCTTCACAAAAGCGCACTCTTTTCGAACAGAGTTACCCTACTTGAGATTTACAAAATCAAAGTGAAACTAGCATGTTTTTGGATACATTTCGGAAGAACGCTTTTTTAAAATGGTTACGCTGACAAAAAACCTCTTCCGGAGGAAAGGGTGATGGTTTTCTTAGTTTAATTTGACTTTAGAATGAAAGGCGAGAGGTCATTAAAATAAAAAACCCCCTAAAACTCCGCACTGAATGTACCCGAACTGCTGATGAACAGCAGTCAATCTGCGCACGCAAGGAGGTGCTATTCATATTCTTATTCTGGAAAAACGAAAGAGAGCTTCAAAACAGACTGCAGCGCCATCTGAAGCAAAGAGCATACTTCCTGCGGACACTTTTTTGGCTGAGTGGCCCATCTTGTTATTTACTATCTTTGGTGCTACAAATACAAATAAAACATAGAGAGTAGATGTGTAGTGAGAGATAAAAAGAGAGAGAAAGATAAAAGAGAGAGAGAGATTGTTTACGGAGCGGGTTGTTTCAGCATGTGAGACATGTATTTTTCTAAAGTTCTGTCTTGTTGTGCGTATGTGAGTGCACCACATACACTGCGATTGTAAATGACCATTTTGATAATCTGCTGGCCTGTGTAGTGTGTGAGCACAAATGAGATCGCTCACGGATTCGATCGTTTGAGATCGGGAACTGTGTAGTGAATGGCGGGCTTCAGAGCCTTGAAAATTCCACAAAACAATCCAAGTTCAACAACGCCCAGAGTAGATTCCAGCCAGGGACATCCACTCCGTAGTCTAGGGCATAGTACAACTGAGCTAACGGAGCACCGTTACTTCATTTGATCTTTGTGTATGTGCAAGTTGTTAAATTTTATATAGAACACTAACTGCAATGAAGTGAGCCTGATCTATTTAGGGAACCTCATGTTTTTGAGTACAAATTTTATGGCACTTGTAACACAGTTAGGTCATATAAGTACCGAACATTAGAGGAGTCACAAGAGAGTAACAAGCAAAAAGAAGGAGGAGGAGAAATAAAGACGATAGACGTTTGACACGAAAGAAGGAGCAAACAGTAGTAGAAACATGTTGAAGTACACTGTTCCATGTTGTCTGAAAACCAACCTCTCATTTCCTTGTAGAGTTTTATGTCGTAGACACCTTGACTGTGACACCATTATTCATCTGGAAATTATATGTTAGGAACAATGCAAGACTAACAGACTGACAAGAACACTAGAAGGACAGTAAAAAATTAGAAGGACCTGGCAGTGGAGCCTTCCAAACGTCTGAGGTCAGAGACACACTTTATACAACCTATGAGGCATACACTGAAGAGTGAAACTGAAGTATGGAAAAAGAGTCTCTCAGCCATAGTAGTACCATAGCTTGCTATGCTATTTTTTTCAAAAGTGTGAGAGAGAGAGGCTGAGGGTGGTTGGAGGGTGACTGTGGTAGGTCTTACTTCTTTACTTTCCCTCTGTTGTTACTATCTGTCTGTCTTACTTTTTTTCCAACACTAAACGATCATTACTGTGTCAATGTGTTTCTCTTTACTCAAACCCCCCCAAAAAAAGTGAAAGGCAGTCCAACTCACTCAATGACAATGGCTGCCTGTCCCTTTGGCTTTTTGGAGTTTTCAAAAAAATTATTTTTAAAATATCAAGTCACAAAAAAACACAAACAACCCACAAGAAACTGAAAAAAGGTCATTACAGTCAGTGCTTTTGCCACACCTGCAAATTTTAATTCCATACATGAAACAGATTTTGATATTTTATATGTACATGATGTATAGATATAATAAAGAAGCAGAGTCCAACATGAAGAAAACAATAACATTTGGCGGTGGCAGATATTTTTAAAACTTCACATGAAAGCTAATGTACAAAAAGTAGCCAAAGAGACTGTTTTAAAAGACAGGACAACATTAAAAACAATGTTGGTCCTGAATCATGCACTGCGTTTACTCATACTCATATTCATTGTGAAACGGTGAATCTAAGACATGTGTTGGAATTTCATTGCTCACAGAATTATTTTTTAAACCCTTTCTCTATGTTAAGAAGTGTTTGCAACCTTTCATAAGATCTTTTGCTAGAAAAGGGCAAGTCAAGTTTGTCCAAAACAAAAACTTGTTTGATGTCACAATATACTCAGGAATCCTGTACCAATACAGTTAGGATGTTCTACACTGTCAGCGATGAAGAAAACCAGTATATTTTCAGTAGGGTTAGGGTTCACTGAGTTAAAACAGTTGTTCCGGTTCATTGAGTTGGAACAGCAGTTCAATACCCCCCCCCAAAAAAAATTGATTTAAAAAAATTTAATTAAAAAAATAATAAATAAAAATAAAACAACCAAAATTTGATACCCCGAAAGACAAAACAGCCTTCTACTTCTAATAACAATTGGTCACTTTTATTCTTAAGGACAAGCGAGCTAACCCAGATTTTGGGGGTTTCCAGAAATCTTGACCTACACCAAAAGTGGGCATTGCCCTACCTATCGCTATAGAAGAAGTTTGGTTTCACTGGTGTGTATTTGTTTGGTTATATAGAGGAAATTCTCCCCCTTGTCTTTTAAAGAAACTGAACAAGGATAAAAAAAACTTAACCTTCAATTTTTTCAAAACAGCATTTTTCGGGATTGTCCCCTTGTGCTTTAAAAGCGACCAATTTGACCAGGTAATATGACCGGCCTCTGTGGTATATAGTGGTTAAGCACTGTCCTGGTGCACACAGGAGACCCGAGTTCAAATAACAAGTGGGGAGACAATTTTTAGTCCAGTATCTCGTTCTTTCTGCTGGGATGTACCTCTCTCAGCTTGGGTAGGCCCTGACAGGCAGGGTCGGAAGCCCACCTCCAAAATGATATTGTGTCAATGGAGTCATAAAAACACCTACTTTTTTTTTTTTACTTGCTATGTCATCTCCAAGTCGAAAATGCAACCTGCAGTTAATCTCGCGAAATGATTGTAGAGTCAAATTCTGCAATATTAATAATATAAGAGTAAACAGATAAATCGCTGTATTTCGTTGTGGCCCTGTCTAGCTTTTCCCCTAATCCAGTTGGCAGAGGGGGGAAACAGGTGAGATAAAAGACAAAACTGCTTGAGGATATGAATTACAATGAAGGTGCTGGATTGCAAACCCCTTCTCGACAAATTTCATGGCTTGTCAATAACACTCGTTTCTTGATAAACGACTTCCATATTAAGAACTAGTAGCGAGTAAAATGAAATTTGTGATTTTTCAAACAAAATTAATTACTCAATCTCTAGTAGTGAGTAAATGGAAAGTTTGTGATTTTTCAAACAAAATTTAATTACTCAATCTCCAGAGTGCGGTAAAAATGGTGATACTAGTATTATTAGTTTTTTTTACTACAGGTAGTACAAAATGGGCTCTTCCAGAAACCACACTTGTTTCCCTTTCCTTCTCAGAAATCTAACGTGTGTAATGATCCCCAATAAGCTTGCTACTTTTGCATTGCAACCTATTAGCCTATGATATCTCTTACACGCAGTAGGCTCTCGGACTCGCAACCGTAAGGTCGTGGGTTCGAATCCCGTCAGGGGCCCGACGTCGTGTCCTTGGGAAAGGCACTTTACACGAATTTTCCTCACTTCACCCAGGTGGGAATGGGTACCCGGCTATAGACAGCGAAAGATCTTGTCAGTTTGTTAGTGTTTGAACGCTTAATCGGCTGCTTGCACTGTATGCTTCCCGGGAAGCTGAGAATGTTTCGGAGTGTTCTATGGTCTGCTGGGGTAATAATATAGTGTAAAGCGCATAGAGCCTGCTGTTGAGCAGGGATATGCGCTATACAAATGCTATCTATTATTATTATTAGTACATTGGACAGCAGCACATCTACTTCACAAGTGACATTACATTCATCTTATCACTATGACGTCAAGTCCTTTGACACATTCCGTGTCTTTCAAGACAAAGTGGTCAACTGCAATGGAGTCCACTAAAACCAGAAACTGCAGGACTGTTGGATTTTCTTCGGTTTAGCCGTGTTTTCAATTTAGAGAGGTTGGTCATATATAGAATGATAAAAATTGGGGAATTTGTTTTCTTTCCGTTTACTCCTCTTTTTGTATTAACCATGTCTGGTTTAAGTTTAAGTGGACTGTTGTAGTTAGGAAACACACTTTAGTTTTACTTTGCATTCTACAGTTACTTGCTGCATCATGGGATAGTTCTATAGACACACAGGAAAAAAAAAATATAAGTCAAACAACTTCTGACACTGCAACATTTTCTCAAATGATTCAATCCCCCCTCAAAAATAATCTAAAGAGCACCTTCAAGGGCTTTCACTGTCAAACCCTCTATTGCTGCACAATCCTCCGTGTCCTGCAGCTTTGGCAAATTTTGCATTGAGCCTTCTTGCATCTTAAGATAAGAGACTTTCACCTTCCATGCATCAGGCAATCTTGGATCTTTCACAATGCCAAAACTTTGTACAAAGATGCCGATGCAACTGTTACTTCTGTGCAAAGATCCACAGGCTAGAATAAGCTTTAGACCATGAGGATCAGATTTGATCTGGACACCATCTCCACTTAAATTGGGATGAAACAATAACATGTCAGTGTTTGTGAATGCAGCGAGCCTCTTAGCTACACTCTCACACCCGGCATGGTCTTCTGTCTGGGAAGTTGCAAATCTAGCCATGTGAAGATGCAGCTCTGCGTTATCCCAGAAATGTTGTGGTCCAAAATCTTGAGGCACCAAATGAAATGATGGATTCAAAGAATTTAACATATTATAGAACCAAGTCACAAACTTGACAGCCGTGGCACATTCCCCATCATGAGCTGCTGCAGTGGCAGCACCACTGCCGTTGGAGGGACTGATATAATTCACATTTACATTAACAATATGATTTTGAACTAGAGTCTTAGGCACTATCAGACAAGACCTTTGTGGAGATTCAGAGTCTGCCTGCCTGATATTGCTGTGTATATTCGAGGAAGCTGATGACACACTCAGGACCACACTAAAAGTGGCTTTCTGATGAGAATCATTGCTGGGACGAGCAGACGATTTTGTTGCTTGATAACCTGATTTCTCTGGACGAGAGCATCGCGATGTCACAGGGGAGTTCTTCTTGTTGTTGGATGCTGCCTATGGAAGAGACAAAGCAGAAACTCATAAACACCAACACATAGTTAAACCCTCTTTGCTTTGAAAGTTGGCAAAAACACAGGAGTTGTTATGAATGAAGAGAATTGCTAGAGATGGCTGTTCAAGACTGACTTGTATTTTTATAATTTGCTTACCTTATAAATTTATGAACAACCAGCTACTGCTCAAATTCATTAAAAATAAATAAATTTAGAATTATTTTTTTTTTAAAAAGCAAGTAAATTTACACACCAACAGTAGCTATTAGATAATCTTAAAATAAGTCTAAAAGTGAGAAAAACCATGAGAAAATTATGTACTGCAGGTAAAGATTTTTTAAATTGTCATTTCAAAGAAAAGACAAAGCACACAAAAGAAGCAAGCTTCTCAACTGTTCAAAAATCACTTGTTTGTCAGAACTTATCCATAAATCCATAGAGAGATGATATCAGCCAGTAGGTTTACTTAGAACATATGTGTATATATATATGTCTGTGTGACGGTATGTAAGCACTTCTGCCCCTGGTGGATGCAGTTGAGAGAGAGAAAGGGGGGAGGGGAAGGGAGAGGGAGAGGGAGGGTGAGAGGGAGAGAGAGGGGGGAGTGAGGGAGGGAGAAGAAGAAGAAGAAGAGAGAGAGAGAGAGAGAGAGAGAGAGAGAGAGAGAGAGAGAGAGAGAGAGTGAGAGAGAGAGTGTGAGAGAGAGAGAGAGAGAGAGAGAGAGAGAGAGAGAGAGAGAGAGAGAGAGAGAGAGAGAGAGAATGAATAACAGCATATTGTCCCAACAAGGCTTAAGGCTTTCACTCTACAGGAGCACTAGATGTGGTAGAAGGCTGCAGTATTGTTAATAATATCATGAATTAAAACTCTACAGCTAAAAACAAATTCCGCTAATCTAGTAGGAGTAGCTTGAGTCATACACAACTAACTTATGAGACAGCTGTTTACACTTGAAGAGAGGTTCATATGAAACACTTCATGATGAATATAATATCTTTCATAATACATACATGTGTCTTGAAACATAAAAAAGCAACACATATGACCTTATGCAGTTGCGAGCGCCGTAAAACCTCTACTAAAACAAAAAAAGAAAACCCACTTCACTTACTTCTTTCTCCCAGTGACTGAGAAGATTACTTATGACCTGTTCCTTTGACCAGCTTGAGGAAAATGGTAACTTTTTTCTGTGAGTGTAGCGAAGCAGAAGATCTTTGTTTATCTTCTTCCTTTTCAAAAAAATTTCTGCTGAGTCAGTAAAAGCTACAATAGCTTCAATAGCTTCTGAAAATGAAAAACAAAAAGCCTTCAGTTACTGTTAGATATAATAGCATCGTTGAGAAGAACATAACATGAAAATTACAAACTTGTATAGCAGTTTTTTGGAATACATAATAAAGGAACGGTGGTGGGAAGCATCTTGTTGTATCTTTTCGCCCAGAAGGGAAGAAGTATTTTATATTAGCAACACAGAGCAAAATATATAATATATATAAATATATATACAGTAGTCTTCGTTTAAGATCCCGGTGCTCGGGAGCAAGGAAATGCGGGATCTTAGGCGAACCGGGACCTTAACCGACGAACCCAGGGAAGAATCTATGGTGACCCATGTTAAGGCTCCCTCCACTCTAAAATGAACTGACGTGACCCCTTGGTGGGTTTGTGACATAAGGCAGGCAAAGACTGGTTAACATTGATGACCTATCACAGTGCATAGTGGCAACAGGCGTGCCATTTTCACTTATTCTCCTATCATGTGTCTCAAGATCTACGCTTATCCAGTTGCCCCTCCCCTTTACCAGTCGAAAATTTATAGCTTTCCCTCTCTGACCAAGTTCCCCTCCCCCTGCCTTTGTCGTTACACACCATTACGTTACGTAATGAACACACCAATTAAAATTCAGTCTGTCTCGTAAATTCGGGTGTAGAGACAACTGCTGCAATGGTCATGGAAGAGTTCACAGTTCGATGTGATCCCACCAGGAGCGAACGTGTAGGTCCTACCCACCCAGTGAGTGATGTAAGTTTAGGGGGAGAGCTCATGTCGGTCAGTTCACACGTCGGTGTGATCCCGTCTGGGGCAAACATTGTATTGCTTCATCGAGTTTTACAACGTGTATGTGATCACATTCATGATAGTGGCTGATCTTTGAGGCAACGGACAGTTTATCGATCTCAACTTATCACTCTCGGTTTATTGGCGGTGCCCGCCCGGGTCTTTGTTCCGCAAATTAAGATCTGAAATGCGGGATCTTAGCCGAATGTAGACCTTCAGAGTGAATCAGAGCGGGATCTTAGGAGTGACTTTTGTAAAGTAAAAATTCTGTTTTCTTAAAACAGCGGGATCTTAAGCGAACCGGGATCGTAAGCGGTGGGGTCTTAGGCGGAGACTACTGTACAAAGAAGGAGAATATGGGAATGTAAAACATCTGAAAATGATTGGTCATGATAGTTGCACTGGCAGCTGGTGTCACCTTGATGGGTGTCCTTGAACATATGTTGTCCAAAAACTGACAGTGTCTTTGTGGCATATTTCCACACAGAAACAACACTTAATAATACGATCTTAAACATCCCTCATGGCTTTATAGTAAATATGCTCAAATGTCAAAAACTACAATACACAACAAAGCACTCTCATAGAGAAAGACAAAAAAACCCTAAACAAATTCAAAGTGCCCTCTCAGAAATCCTTAGCATGAATCTGTTATATTCATACCTGTTTGTATATATAGTACAGTCAAACCCTGTTGTACTGCCTACCTTGGGACGAGCATGAAGTTGGCAGTACATCGGGGCTGGCTGTACAACGAGGTCTTCATTTCCTCTGATATATTAAGGACCGACTGCCCAACATCAAGGGAACTTGTTTACCAATCGCTAGATGAATTAATGAATTATCTCCCTTTGATCTGTCACTTTGACTAGAACTTGAGCGTGAGTCCTCCCTCACTAAATAAATGTGAGGCGTGTCAGTTATTCGGCTGACATCTGGCGATACGAGATGGCAAGGTTCCTTTAAAGTTTCTCCAAGCGACTTAAAAATGTAATTTCATTTTTTAAATATTGACCAAGGCCTAAAAATAATAGCATTTTCATACTAAGTACATCGAATTTAGTCAGGTTCACGAGCGGAGAGAAATTTGATGCTGAATTATGGTTATGTTTTATTTTGATTGTAAATATTTGTCTACATTACACATTGTTTGTTGTGTTCGCTTACGACACAATACATCACTGAAGATCTTGCCATATTGCCTGAAATCTATAAGACAAGGGTGGGGATGTGGGATGGGCGGGGATGGAGCAAATTGGCGAAAAGTGTTTGATCTAAACGTACGCCTAGCTCGTAGAAACGTATGTGAAAGATTGTAAAGTGACGACAGGGTTGATGCGTTGTGTGCAGCGTATAGCCTAGTGTGTACGGTGTACAACGGGGTAAATTTACACTAATTTAATAAGGACCGTACAACTGAGACAGTTGGCGGATGGCAGTGTAAGTGTAAAGCTGCAAATACTGTGTTTATATAGGGGATTCTTTTCGTACATTGGCAAAACCTGGAAGTAAGCGGGGCTGGAGGTACAAGGAAGTTTGACTGTATGTAGCTGAAAAGGGGGAGCTGAGTTAGTACAGCCAACAACACTTAAAGTGTGTGTGTGAGTGCTTATGAGTGTGTGTCTGTATGTGTAAACCAATATGGAAAAAAATCATGACAAGGAGACAAATCAACAAAGTGCACAGTTTAAAGTTTCAAAAAGTTTGCAGCTAAATGGCATAAAAGAATGGGGGGAACATTTTCACCACATGGGAAAAACAGGAAAACTAGGAAAATTATTGATTTAAGGAATGGTCTTTCTCTTGTATGCTTTTTACATTTGGAAGTTAAGCTTCAACTGCAAATTTGGTTGTCTTTTGTAGCAGTACAACTCCCCATACAATTTCAACTGCACCAGCCTGACAAACTTCCACAGGACGAGAACCATAGCTATATATATGATCAGTTAACAATTCTGTCTCCAAATCCAAGTGTAATTGTTATAGTTTGTGGGCACGGCGCTGCAGCTTTATGAATGTGACCCCAAGTCCAGCATCTCTGATTTTAGCACTCTGCTAACCTAGGGATCCTGTCGTTTGCGATTTCCTATTGTGTATGGCAGCAGATGCCATTCTTTTCATCTCTTTTTTTGGTGGATCCTGCTGCTACACAGGTGACCAAGGAAAGAGTAAACCGTCTTCGAAATACTAAACATATCTTAAGTCAGCATAAAGTAAGTATAAAGTCAAAGTTAAACCAATTGAATGTCACTTGGTTATGCTGACAATTTGTTACCTTAGAAAATACAAAGTTCTATCTATTATTTTTGGCTGTTCTGAGTTATTAAGACCACGGGGCCAGAAACCCAATCAAATATTATATCTGTATTCTCTATCAAAATTGTAAGATTTTAATTGGAGTCATCATCAAAATATTAATTTTGTGTCAAATTTCTCAAAACTAGGTACTGAGTAGATAGAACTTTGTAAGTCTAGGGTAGCCAATCTTGTAGCATCTTCTCGCCCAGAAAGAAGAAGTACATCATTTTAGCAACACAGAGCAAAGTAGAACATCTCTCCATTATAACTCATATACATAAAGAAGGAGAATATGGGAATGTAAAACATCTGAAAATGACTGGTCATGATAGTTGCACTAGCAGCTGATGTCACCTTAATAGGAACTATTACTGTATATAGTTATAAAAATAGGTTACACACAATGTGAAATAAAAATACACAGGTTTGCTTCAGACTACATATATATTACTAGCTGGGCCCCCGTTCGATGAACGGATTGAGACAGAAGCGTGTTGATTGTTCTCAGTAGCAAGAAAAAGAATTTGACAAAGAAGTCCAGAAAAAGCGATGATGGGCATCAAACGAAAGGATCACAGTCGAATTTAGCACCAAGTAAAAAAAGAAAACATGAGGCTAGATCTATATGGGTCGTACACTTAAAATAGTGCTCAATATTGCGTGACAATGCGCAATAGTATCAAACGGAAGTACGACTTGAAATAAACAAACCTGGCGGATTTTCTAAAATTACAGAGACAGAAGCGTCAGCCTACAAAAGCGATCTACGAAATAAAGAAATTTTAATTTAGCTTTTTGCAGCAAAACTGTCTCAAAACTGAAAAAACGAAGGGCGTCATGATCTGGAGAATATTTTAAAGAAACTTTAGGCGAAAACCACATGTCGATCGATGCAGCCATTAAAAAGCCTTTTGAATAGCAAAATTCGGCCACCACAATAATAGATATGTAGCCTCTGACATAGAGATACATGGTTTTGGGGGGAGAATGATAGATCTGACATGAGTTCTGGGCAGAGGGACAGGGATAGTTTAGCTGATTCAACAAAGTATTTATGATACCAGGTCCTTCAGACTGAATCAGCTTCAGAGAAACAAAATGTACCTACCTGCACAAGTGCCAGCATGAATAGTTCGGTTTGTAGCAGTCTCCAATAATGAGAATAAATCTTTACTGTCTAACAGTTGTAAGATTTCTTTACAATGAGCTTTTTCTGTGTCTGTTAACATTTTTCAAGCAGGACTGTAAATTCTTCCATCTGTTGCACCTGAAATTCTGAAAGTTTGAAGGAAAAAATTTAATGTCAAAAAATTTGTATACCATTTTTGGGGTTTCTTTTCAGGAAGGAGCAGGTGTTTTGGAAATCGGCAGCACAGTTAATGTTAAACGGCTGCAGGAAGTGTATTTTTACTTATTCTTTGAACACCGTTGTAAACCTTCTTTTAGGCTGTTATCTGTGTCCAACAGTAAATTATTCTGGAAGCAAAGGGGGAGACCCGACATGAAGTAAGACTAACAGTAACAGTAAGAGACGATGGGAGAAGGAGGAGACCTGACTTGGAACCAAAACAACTTAAGCAGGCAGAATAGCAAGAGGCACAGAGTTTCAATTGCAGAAAGGTCCTATAAGTGTGGTCAAAAATTCATGGGCACAACTTATTGCCAAGTATCTCCTCAATTATTAAACATAAGACTCCCCAGCTTTTGCACAACGACTTACTGACAATTCGTCTCAACAGATCAATATTTTTGTGAACACCTGTTCACTGTACCCTAGAAATTATATAATAAATACAGTAGTCTCCGCCTAAGATCCCGGTGCTCGGAAGCAAGGAAATGCGGGATCTTAGACGAACTGGGATCTTAACCGATGAACCCAGGGAAGAATCTATGGTGACCCATGTTAAGGCTCACAATCGGTAAAATGGTCTCCCTCCACTCTACAATGAACTGACGTGACCGCTTGGTGGGTTTATGACGTATGGCGAGCAAAAGAGTGGTTAACCTTGATGACCTATCACGGTGCATAGTGGGATGTGGCGTGCCATTTTCACTTATTATCCTGAGTCTCAAGATCTACGCTTATCCAGTTGCCCCTCCTCTTTACCTGTCAAAAATTTATAGCTTTCCATCTCTGACCGAGTCCCCCCCCCCCTCCAAACCGCCTTTGTCGTTACACACCATTACGTTGTGAACCCACCAGTTAAAATTCAGTCTGTCTCGCAAATTCGGGAGCAGAGACAACTGTTGCAATGGTCAAGGAAGAGTTCACTGTTCGATGTGATCCTGCCTGGAGCGAACGTGTAGGCCCTACCCACCCAGCGAGTGATGCAAGTTTAGGTGGCGAGCTCAGGTGTGAGTGCGATGCATGGGAAAAACAAACCCGTCGGTCAGTTCCCACCCTAGTGTGATCCCGTCTGGGGTAAACATTGTATCGCTTCATCGAGTTATACAACGTGTATGTGATCACATTCACGATAGTGGTTGATCTTTGACGCGACGGACAGTTTATTGATCTCAACTTTTCACTCTAGGTTGATCGGCTGTGCCCGCCCGGGTTTTTGTTTAGCAAATTATGATCTGAAATGCGGGATCTTAGCCGAATGTAGACCATCAGAGCCGGATCTTAGGGGTGACTTTTGTATAGTAAAAATTCTGTTTTCCTAACACAACAGGATCTTAAGTGAACAGGGATCGTAAGCGGTGGGATCTTAGGCGGAGACTACTGTACTAATAAAAAATCCAACTAAGGGGTTTCTACAGATCATAGATGTTTGCAGTGGCGGTGGGTAGTGAAGGGCTCACGGGCTAGAGCCCCTCTCCCCACCCCCCAACTCTATCAAAAAAGCAAATGAAAATAACTACGGTATATAAGCAGTTGAAACCGTTGTGGCCGCACACAATGAACACAGAGTGATCAACTTAGCGGCTTGCTCGTTTATCCAACCACTGTTGTCACCGCTTACAACTATAGTAACCTAACAGCCAATCAAAATGTCTTTAGGGCTCAGCAAGGGACGAGCCCGTTCTCACGCCCCCTCCTTATGAAACCCCTCTTGTAAAAAGGTAAAAGACTAGGAAAAAATAACACTGCACAGAGGGCTCACGCTTTCCAAGCCCTGACAATGGGGTGAAAGTTTACGACACATTTTTCTAAAGTGACTCAGTTACCTATGCACCCATTGGACCTTTTTTTAGGTGCGTTCTACTTCCTCAGCAAACAGGCCTAATCTAGGTCATAGACGGTAAATGTTTGGAGTGCTGTGTGAGCATGTTTGTGTGTGTGCCGCTGAGATTTAACAGTTATTAATTACATCAAACCACTTTAGAGCCAACTTTTTAATCAGATAAAAAGTAATTAGAGAAATTTGAAGGTGAAATGGCTTTGTGCCCACCATCCAGAAGAACTCAACGTAGAACAAAGAGATGGAGGAAGGCAAAGGTGACTCTTCTCATTTGAATGGTTCTCAAAATGCTGTGGCTCGCCGTGAGCATAGAAAAATCACCACTGTTTTGTTCTTATTGCTTGTTATTTGGTGGTAAAGAAATGGAAGCAACCTAAGCCCCACCCAAATTTTGGTCCATCCACCGCCACTGGATGTTTAAAGGTTTACATCACATGATCTGGGACAATAGCACTTTAACTTTAAGAAGCAAGTCTGTACTTTCTTCTAATTGCAGCACTTTGCTAAATTGAAAGCTTATATTTTGAGTACTTTTGGTGTAAAAAAAGTGTTCACTATAAAACTAAATTTGAAACAAGAAATGGTGCGGAACGAAACTTGAAGAATGCACTGAAGCGAATCGCTACTGACCAGCAGTGAATTGCACTGTTCTTCATTTCTTTCACTCGTAAGTTTACTGAAATATATTAAAAATGAGAGTTGTTTGTGATAATCTACAAAGATTGTTTGAAGGATCGCACATTCTAACTGGTATCTAATAAAGTTAAGAGTGACGTCATCTAACCAAAGCATTTTCCTGTCACCACAATACCTGTCTACGATTCCCCCTCATCATTATGCTGTTCTTCATCAGACGACTTATAAAATATGAGCAGAAATTCTTTTCAACTTCACTTGTCATGTATCAGATCATATTACTGCATGGGTTATCGATACTGACTTTAATACTTGGTATCAATGTTTTATCTGAAAGAGAGTGAGAGATGCACTGTCTGCAGTTCTTTCGCTGCAAAGCAGGCGATAGATAAAAATTAAAACTGGGCCAAACCTGGACTGGGGAGCTGGAAGTGGAAGAGAGGCAGAGGCGGTGCAGTCTGCTATTTTTCAACACAAAATGAGCGGTAATATTTCACTTGTTTTTAACAACACAGCTTGTTCACTTTCGTCTGACTGCGTAAAAAAAATTCTAGCTCATTCATTACTTTATCTACCCCTACGAAACTTTGCATGGCACTTCTGCAGGCTAGCAACCAAACAAAAATATATTTTCAGAAAAATCTTGATCCAGTAATAATTAAGTTTTTCTCTTTGGTTCCAAATATAAAACTGCTCTTTGGAGGCATACACTGGATCGCTAAAATAAATGATTTACAGAAACTTTGCCTACAAATTGCTAATTTTGAGACAGCAACAGCACCTTGCCCCTCCATTTCAGTGTAAGCTTGAAGATTTCATCCCATGGCCGTCTAGACACCTGCATGTCAGTCTCGAAAATTACTTACCCCATCTTTTGAATCGCATTTCTTAGACAAACGTTAGAGTGTGGTGTTGAGGAAAATGTGTCAACTTTTTAATGTTTTAGGTGAATGCAGTAAATCCCCTTTTATTGTTTTTTAAACTCTTTCCAGGCGAAGTTTTTTTTGGGTCTAGACATAATTAACTTGTGGCTCGATTTGGCTATGCAGGTGGTGTACAAAATAACTTCATAGAAGCATAAGTCTATCACTCAAAACGTAACATATGATATATCAAACTGAAGGAAATTGAATGAAGAATACATCCCAAAATGAAAAAAGGATTAATTTTGAACATAAGTATGCATTAGAAGGGTTAGAAATGGCGATGGGTGATGAGAAAAATAAATTTTGACGGAAAAAATTACATTCACCAAACATGTGAAAGCAAATCAGCATAGCTATCTTATCATATACAGGCCAAGAGCATTTTATAATCCATAAATTTCTGGAAGCGCAGCTTTTTATTTGAAAGCAATATTCCAATTTTTGTTTGAGTTATGAAATTTATACTGAGTCTGGTTACATCGTTTTGTTGATGCAAGACCGCAAGAACTAATTCACTAGTTTTTCCCAAAACCAAAGCTTTGACAAAGTGAAACTGATGTTTTCGTTTCCAAAATCCTTTCCAAGTTTTTCAATAGCAATATAAAGTAATTATAAATGACGGATCGCGTTAAAACGAAACAATACTGAGGCACCCCATCACAGTCAATATCGGCGATACATCCTAAAAGGGTGGGGACTCGCGCCGATATATCGGCCATACGTCCGGAAAGAGTGAACCTGCTTAAAGTTTACATCAAAGAAAACGTGACGGAACCTTAGTTTGCAGTGACCTTTATGAATTGGCTTTTTGATTCTGTTGGTCATCCAACTTTTAGACCTGTATTAGATCTATATATATGCAAAGATCTGAGAAAATTAAACAGCGATTTCATTTTATCCTCTTGTAACCGCAGCCAAATGAAAGTAACCAAGATAAAAATATGGGGGTTTCGGGATGGGTAACCATAATTTGAAGTTTTCTTATTAGATTTGATATTTTCTATCACTCGCTGCCTGTCAAACATCGCATCAGCATGCACAGCGAAAAGTAATTGTTTGCAACCAGAAGTAATCATTTAGATAATATATTTAAAGCACTTTGTGGAGCCAAAACCCACAGGCCCTACTCCATAATAATCGTTGGGACCATACCCGGATTATCCCTAAAGTTTGCCACAAAAAAAATGTCACCGAGCAGTGATGTAGGTATATGCATAATGTCAAAATGTGTGTGAGAAGTGGGAAGTGCTGTGAACACTCCAGTTTTCCGTGTGAGGAAGATTTCTGGTTATTAGTGAAGAAAAGCTTTTTTAATCAATCTAGACTCAACTGTTTTGAGAAAAAATTATAATAGTTGAGACAAAAGGATACACCTTACCGGAATCCCCGTTTTTCTTCCGATGTAAACTCAATTACTTAAGCTTGGATATAGCGGGACAAGGAAAGTTCCAAACTCAGATACAGCGGGAAAGATTGAGCGAGCTCTAGCTTGGGGAGGGGGCTGTAGGCGGGCTCCAAACAGGCAGTCGGCATTGTGATTGGCTAGTCCAGGGATGAGTGAGGTGGGGCAGGCGGTAAGCCTAGAGAAAAATGGTGCTGAGAGAGAGATGGTGCGGAGAGATGCGTTCCACTCCAAACGTGATGTAGATCTGTAATAGCCCTCTGTAGAGCTGGTGAAGTGAATGCGTGCGTATGCCTGAGCATCAACGATCGCAATTCAATGAATCAGGAATCATGTACTACACGCTCTCCTCTTCTTTTACTTTTTGGCCTAGCCTAGGCCTATGGCATTACATACGCTCTCGAACTGAGCGTCTAAGCTAGGGCACATATCACTTTTTTAGTGGCTCACGTAACGCACCTCTCCGCACCATCTCTTTCTGCCGCATGTCCCACCTCGCTCATCACTGGACTGGCCAATCACAGCGCCGCACCACTGACTGCCTGTTTGGAGCCCACCTACAGCCCCCAACCGCAACCCCCTTCCTCCCAGCTAGAGCTCACTCGATCTCTCCCACTGTATCCAAGTTCGGGCCTTTCCTTGTCCTTCTAAACCCCAGCACAGGTAATTGAGAGTACAGATAGAAAAAACCCCCCGGGGATTCCGGTACAGTACCGCTGTAGCGGATGCCGTTATAGTCATGTTCTACAGTATTTCTAGTATCTACTAGATCTAGATTTAGATCTAGATTCTAGATCTAGATAGATTAATAAGCAACGAAAAAAGGGAGTGTATACAGACCCGGTAACCGGGAACAAAGTCACAAAGTATACAGACCCCGTAGGGAAACTCTTTTGTGATTTCGGAAAGTTTCAGCGCCCTCTGGCTCAGGGTAGATCCAGGTTCTTCTAGATCTATGACCTAGGTCTAGATATAGATCTAGACAGACATAAATCATTGGTAGTAGGGGTACCAGTAGTAGTAGTATATATATAGGGTTTTACGGCGGAGCCTAGATCTAGATCTAGATTCTAGATCTAAATGAAGATTGCAGAATGTCTTTCTGATGAACGATCGTTTTTCCTCCGTTTTGGAGTTGGAGGAATCACAATTTGAAGAAAAGAACAATGTCACAATGTCAATCGAGCAGTCACCCTCTCTATTTCTCTGCCTCTCTCTCTCTCTCTCCTCTGTCTCTGTGTATCGCTCACATTCTCTTTTTCTTTCTTTGTCTCTGTCTTTCTTTCTCCCCACCTATTTCCCACTCTATCTTTCTCTCGTTCCCTCCTGCCAACTGGGGTATGTCACACATTTTGCTAGCATAGCACTTTCCCCTGTTCTCTCTCTCTCTCTCTCACACACACACACCCACACACTACCGGGTCTGGGCGCTGAAACTTTCCGAAATCACAAAAGAGTTCCCCTACCGGGTCTGTATACTTCGTGACTTAGATCTAAATCTAGATCTAGATCTAGATTCTAGATTAGATCTATATCTAGATCTAGATCTAGTTCCTGGTTACCGGGTCTGTATACACTTCGACGAAAAAATAAAAAGGCCTAGATTCTAGATCTAATCTAGATCTAGATCTAAATCTATCTTTTAAAAGTCTAGATCTAGAAATCTAGTACTAGGCCCTCTAAGCTAAAAGCCCTTCTAAGGCTAAGTATACAACTTACTAAAAGTAATAAAACTGAAAGTAAAAGGCGGGGGTCGTTCCAATTCCAAGTGTAGTCAAGTAGACAAGGCCCCTAGGCTACCGAACTCATTGTTAGTGAGAAGGGAAGCCTTTCATTTTGCCTTCTCACTCAGCTCACAGTTCTTCACCAACACCAGAATCCAACAAGCAAAACTAGGCCCAAGATTAGAGCACAGTAGTGTCCAGAACATGCAGAAAACAAAAAGCGTAGGTAGACGTCTGGAGGCCTAGCCAAGGAAGGTAATTCAGAGTTCTGTCACCACAGTCAACATCTTAGCGATGACTGATGACCTTTCACCTCCCTCGTTATGATTGTGGTTGGGCGTTTTGTTTTTGACGCGCCAAGTTGTCTAATTTTCATAATTTTATTTAATTAAAAAAAAATGCAATACATGTTTATTACAATCAATGACAGAGAGAGAGAGAGAGAGAGAGAGAGAGAGAGAGAAAGAGAGAGAGACAGAGAGAGAGAGAGAGACAGAGAGAGAGAGAGAGAGAGAGAGAGAGAGAGAGAGAGAGAGAGAGAGAGAGTTGATTTTTATCGCTTATCAATCTCTAGGCCTACTCTATATATTATATTTTTGTGAAAGTCCGTCACTTTGGCCGCCTAAAACTTCCGAACCACTTAGGGGCTGTTCAAATAATATAATCTTACACCTTTTTTGGTAGTTTTTGACCCCCCCCCCCTTCTTACACTTTTCTAACATTTGCCCCCCCCCTCCAACCACCCAGTAATATTACATTGTTCGCTTATAATACTAATAATATGACATTTATATTTATATCTCACAAATTCGTGTTACAATCATTGTTCCATGCGCTTTACATAATATTCATGACGAACATGCATATGTTCCGCGCAATTTACAGATCGTTTTAACGATCGTATAATTGCGCGGCAATCTTAAGATTGCGCTGCACATTTTAACGATCGTATAATTCACTTCCATCTTTATTCTTTTACTCACATCAAGGAACATTCACGCATATTTTCAAAAGTGCAAAAATATGAAAATTAAAATTAAAATTAAAGTTAGATATGAAACTGAAGAGCTCACAAGAATGATACAATTGTATAATCGTTAAAACGCACAGCGCAATCTTAAAATTGCCCCCATGATCTTAAGATTGCCACGCAATTATACGATCGTTAAAACGTGCAGCGCAATCTTAATATTGGTAAGTATTGGTGGAACACACAGGCCTACACAGATATCATATGTATGCACAAAATAATATGCAGTTCTACATTTACTAAAAAATAACAGAGTAGATCATTCAAGCAAAATATTGCATACACTCTTTCTAACTTAATTACTAATAAGGAAAAAATTGAGACTCATGTCAATTTTAAAAGCCCCTTAATTACAAATATAACAAATTACAGTGGAATTCAGGACCGAAAAAAAGTGTTGACTTTGAGCAAGGTTGACTTTATCCATTGTACTACTCACCATTGAAAATTGAAGGTGACAGCTACAAAATTACAAAGCAAAACAAAGTACCTGGTAACAATAAATAAGATGTTAGCTCAATTTCAGGGAGTAATTCTGAAGTTGTCTCCAAAAACAAGAGATAATGAGTGAACAAAGTAATTGGAGATGTGTACACCACTAGCTCAGGATCTAAATACATGTATCTCTTCTTAAATGAATTCATCTTGAGATTTAGCCCCAAATTGTTTACTTTACGCAAGGTTAATTAACACTCAAGCAGTTGACTGTATACATGTATCAGAAACACAATTACTTAAACAAAGAAGCTAAGAAATGGGACCACAGTGAGGTGTTGACTGTAAGCAGGAGTTGACTTTATCAGGATTCCGCTGTATCTGTTATTACTGATCATTATACTTAAAACAAAAAGTGAAATTAGTTATCATCGACAAAGGCAGTGTTCATCATTATGTCAAATATATTTTTTAAAAACAGGGCCATCTGCTGAGCTGTCTTCCAATGGGTCCTGTTCTATGTTCTTATACCGTCTAGGTCCTGTTCCAATTCTTCCTGATCTGTCTCCTCTTCCTCCTCTTCTTCCTCCACCCCCTTTTCTTCCTGAGAAAAGCCCTAGTGTGCCTCTTAAATGCTGCAATACTTGAAAAATATTTTCCACATTCCTTATAATTATGGCCTCTGCACAGTCTGCACACCATGCAGCCTTTCTTGACTAAGGCCACCCTTTTTTCCCTTATTTTTTCACCTCACAAAAGGGTAATATTACATTGGTTAAATACCCCCCCCCCCCCCCCCCACTGTCTTACACTTTTCTTACAGGAGCCAAAGACCGCCCCCACCCCCTTTCCAAGTGTAAGATTGTATTTGAACAGCCCTTTAACTTTCGAATTTGATTAAATTAATGGTGGTTCAGAATCATTTAAAGGGTGCACAGTTTTATTGAGGAGCCTGAAGTCACTGTAGTTAAATTTTCAGTTTTTCATTAGTTTCGTTTAGATCTATTCTTGGGAAAGTTCGACCGTCCGACTTCTAAATGGCCATTGTAAACAAGTGAGGTTTCCATTCACAAGACATTCAAATTTGTTTGCATCTCAAGATTTATTGCTCCATACAGTACTAGTACTAGAGTGTACATATTGTAAGCCAATGACTTTCAGTTGTTAATGCACAGATCATTCCTTTCATCGAAAGGGGGCCCAGCTAGTACTGTAGAATAACTTTAAACTAAGTATAGGGGGGAGTGGGGAAAAGTGGGCAACGGTGGGAGGAGTTTTTGAGAAAAAAAAAGAATTAACTCAAAAATGAAAAAACAAAGGACAAAATGCTTTATATCAATCGAAACAACATTTATTGCGTTTAAAAAACAGTTATAAGCGGTAACAGGGATATATAATAATATGAAAATTGTTTTATAGGGTGCTGAAGTCAACATTACAAGTGGGGAGAAGTGGGCCATGGGTGGGGAGAACGTGGGCCCCCCCTGTGGAGAGAAATGGGCCACAGGTGACATACTGTTACCAAAGATAGTACAGCCATAGGGTATAGTATCTTTGCTGTTACCACCAGGGCTACCGAAACCTAAACAAAAAATCAATACATTCCTCACAACGGCACAAATATGGAATTTAACTGAAATTAAGATCACCAAATTGTCCAAAGTCAACCTAGAAACAGATGCTCACCTCTATGGTTCTTGCAATAGTGCCTCTGAATTCAGAATGTGGGTTGGGGGGGGGGGGGGGTTATGGCTGTGATGGAGTCAATATGGACTGAGGAAATATCTTCCACTACTGGTTTTACAAAGTGTGGACTCTTTTGGCCCTTTTTTCGGGGAAAAATCAACCCCAACATCACCTTTGTCTCTTTCTTTGACAACAACCCCGATTACTGTTTACATAGTAAAACTGTATTAATTTTTTGTTGAGAACTCACACACCACGCCATGCACTGCTGACGTTGAACTGCTTAGTATCATGAGATACGATGACTTTTGGTGGACTGTTGTGATTCCTGTTTCGTCACGATTGAGTATCTGAGCTCCACAGACACCCAGCGGTCGCTCAGCAAGTTTAAAAATGTTCCCACAAAATGTTTATTGAAAGCTGTGGCTCTTGCCAATGAGGTAACCTCTGGTTGTCGCACGCACTGAATTGTGGATGTCTCCAAAAAAAGCCCACCTGCCACTCCTTTCCAGCACATTTTGCCTCATCTCACGAAGATGGGTACGAAAGGTATTATACTAGGTGATTTGCAACAGCGACTTCATAGGCGAGTTTTCTGCAGTTAGCAGTTGTCAAACTATGCACAGGATATTTTGGAACATTTCAACATTAATTACTGCGCCAATTCAGTCTCCTGTTGTACTGTGAATACTTGACTGTGGACTGTGACGATAGTTTGGACACAATTCAACTTCATCTCGAAGAGCTTTCTTCACATTGTTTTAAAGGGTAGTGCGAGCAATGCCGTGAAGGTATGTGACTTCCCTCAAAGGCGCTCTATTTCTAACAGCTGCCACTGCATTGTTCATTGCATCAGGTAAGGCTGTGCCTCTGCCGGTCTTCCTTTGATATGTAGCACTGTCCCTAGAGATTTAACTTGAACAGAAAAAAGAATAATAAATCATTAATTAATACGTGTCTTCGGGACGCCGTTTCATACCAAAAGACTAGAAAGAAGAGGGTAAACAGCGCCACAGCTTGCAGTGTGACCAGAGCCTTGATCTAATTATGCAGTTGCGAGCCCCGTAAAACACTTACAAAAAATTAAAAAGCAAAACAAAACATTTACTAAAAACAAAACATTTCTTAAAACAAACAAACAAACAAACAAAACTTCCTTGCTCAGTGCCCATATCTGGGCTCACCGTGGGGGTCACAGTGGGTTTGTTGCAGCTATGTCGTAGTTACTACAGGGGGCCTTAACTCGCGCCCTACGAGCTAACACTGAGGCCTTCAGGACAACATTTTGCAGTCCATGACGCCATCAAAGTATAATGTTAGTGTCGCCTCCCACGTTTTTCTCACAAACAGCTTTTGTCCGAGGATTTTTAAAAATATAAATAAAACAAAAACAAAACAACCCAACAACGCCCACCCCCCACCCCCACTTAAAGTGGGTTACCATAGCCTCGCGACAGCTCCAGGTGGTGTTTGCTGATATGTTGTAGACGTGATTTCAAAGTTGAATTTGAAAAAGAAGAAAAAAAAATGCGACCCTACTTGAAACTTTTTCCAATACTTGATGCAGCTCAAGATCCCCAAGACTCTATCCCCTTTCACCCCCACTCCCGGGTAATTTGAGTTAGAAACCCCTTTGTAACCAGGAACAGGAAACAGTAGGCTATGATCGCAGTAATGTTTGAAAGTACGGTGGATTATACTTTACTTCTACAACCATATCTGTGATGAAAGATGGAACAAAATCGTTTGGACTGATACATGTACCAGTTCCACAATGATTTTTACCATTTGAAGGTGAACATAGTAGTCAACTTGGGAGGGAGCACCTTTTCCAGAGCAATATTATGCGGTTAACCGATTTGAAGCTTGGCTCTTCTTTTCATTGACAAAAAAATATAAAGAAACATTTGCCATTAATAAAAATCTCAAATATTCTCGATGAGCACTGCTTTTATTGTGGCAAAGTTACGGTTGAAGCTTGAAAGAAGTAGAAAAAGATTCTTGTCTACTTTCACTCAAATACGAAACATTGTCATGTATTACATATTATAACTAGGAAAAATGAAACAAGCTCACACTCCATGTTCAGTCAGTTGGTTAATTTATTATGGGAAAAGATTTGCATAGCAACAACATACAGGGGAGTGATGATTTATCATGTCTTTTTTCTGGAGGAAACCGAACTTAAAAGCAAAATATAAAATTGCCTCGAGGAGACAGAAAATATTCTATGGAGAGAAAAAGTGTGTGTTAATGTGTGAGAGCATGTCTGACTTAGAGGGAAGGAGGAGAGAGAGGGGGTGGGTAAAGAAACAAATAAATGAGAGCGAGGGAAAGATGGGAGGATGTTTAGTTTTAGTAGGGTTTTACAGCACTCGCAACTGTTGAGCGCCAAGGGGTGAATGTCAACAGAGAAGTCCAAATGAGGAATCCGGTTTACTCTGCTCACCTCTCTGACCTCAACAGCATAAAGTCTGCTTCGACTGTCAAGGCACAGATGGGGGAAGATGGTGGAGTGGGGAGAGAGAATGAGAGAGCAAGAGAGAGAGTGAGAGAGTGAAAGAGAGAGAGAGAGTGAGAGAGAAATAAAGAGCAGAGAGAGAGAGAAAGAGAGAGAGAGAAAGAGAGAGAGA